AAGATCTCCAGAGAAGGAGACTCCACAGCCTCTCTGGGCAGCCTGTTCCAGGGCTCTGTCACCCTCATAGTAAAGAAGTTCTTCCTCACATGGAGATGGAACTTCCTGGGTTTCAACTTGTACCCATTACCCCATGTCCTGTCCCTGGCCGCCACCGAGAAGAGTTTTGCCCCGTCCTCCCTACATCCTCCCCTCAGGTACTTGTACATGTTGATCAGACCTCCTCTCAGCCTTCTCTAGGCTAATCAGGCTCTGCTCACTTAGTCTTTCCTCATACAATAGATGCTCCAGTCCCTTAATGATCTTTGTCACTCTGCGCTAGACCCTTTCTAGAGGCTCCACGTCGCTCTTGTACTGGGGAGTCCAGAACTGCACACACACAGCTGAGTAGAGGGGCAGGATCCCCTCCCTCAACTTGCTGGCAACACTCCTAATGCAGGCCAGGATCCCATTGGCCTTCTTGGCCACAAGGGCACATTGTTGCCTCAAGAAAAAAAAAAAGAATGCCACGAATTTGCATGTCATAGAATGGTCAGAAAGGAAAGCAGAATTGAGGGAAACTGAGGACAAAACAGAAAGAAGGAATGACTGGAGGGTAAAAGACTGATGTTTTATCTCCCACCTCTACTAATAGAGAGAGATCAGCTACCTTCTCCTCCCATTCATGCTGGCTTTGTTTCGCCTTGGCTAAATAGCATTATCCCTCTTCACACACTCAGGCCAGAATCCTACTAGCCCATTTGCTGGATTTGATCTTAAACTGCTACCCTGCAGCATCCCACCCTGTGCTCTGCTCTCTCTAGAGACTTTGATGGCTCTTTCAAAGCTCTATGTTTTCCTCCACATCTTCTGTTGGAGAGAAGTTATAAGCCCTCATACAGCACTTTCCACAAAAACAGGCCATATTAAATGTGCTGCTTGAGCATCACTGTTGGTACTTGTCAGTGCTGTAACTTGGCACAGTCAGTGATAACGACCATAGACCCCACTGTATAGGGCAGTACAAGCACATATGTCCAGGAGAAGGTATGCCTTTATCTTCTCCTCCCAATTTCCATACAGAACATCAGGCAGTACAAGCACATATGTCCAGGAGATGGTATGTCTTTATCTTCTCCCAATTTCCATACAGAACATCTCACCACCTTGCAAAAAATAAGATGCCAACCCTCTATTATCACCCAACTACTGGCAGGGAGCAGCAAGGAGAGCTGCTCCTCATGAAAGGTGATGCAAGAATCTAAAGTGATAACAAGGTAAGCAGGGCAAGGACCCAGTCCTCAGCAAGGCAAGCAGAGCAGATCCTATGACAGTAACCAGGTTCAGCCAAGAGCCCAGACTGACAGATGACCACAGTCATCAAGCAAGTCTGACGTTAAGCTGGGATTTCAAGTGCACAGGTCAGGGTCTGGAACCAGATCAACAGGGTATGTGGCCAGGCACCGGCAGAGCTGCAGTGCAGCTGCAGTACAGCTGCAGCGTAGCTCACTTTGGGGCTAAAAGCTTTGGTTTAAAAGCAGCTCCCAAGGGAAGAAGGTGACCACTCCTGCTGAGGCTTCTTCTAGATTTTTTTCAAAGTGCTCCAAGGCTAACAAAGACTTCTAAAATTGCTTACTCTTATCAGCAAAATGACCTTAAGTGCATAAAGATAAACTTGTAATAATAGGGTATGAAGGGGTGGGTGTTCCAGGCCCTAACACCTAAGATATGCCCCTAGCTCCACAACATTCCTTTCTTTTCCCTGTCTTACTTAGGCCTTCTCTTATGCCCCAACCAAGAATGCTGGTCCAAAGCTGGGTCATACTGACTACAATAGAGAAACACCAATATCTGTTGATATTCTGAAACACTGACAGAAGCTGACAGCTGGCTGCCACCTCTGCATCATGCCACTGAGCTGTGGCCTGCTTACAATTACATACAAATTATAGACTTTATCCTTCCCCTGCAAATCTGGCAGGATCAGGATCAAATCTTTCCTGACAGGTATTTGTGAAACACGTTCTTAAAGGCCTCCAATGATGGCAATTGTAACATCCCCTCAGAAATCTCTTCTGGTATGCCACTATCCTGACACTCAAAATATTATTCTAAAGCCTAACATAAGCTTTCTTGACTCAGCTGAAACCTATTATATCCTGTTATGATCACTATGGCCATGGAAGATGTAATTCCTTTCCTTGTATTCATCTCTTACAAGATCCTCAGATCAGCCAGTGTTAAAGCCTTCCTAAAGTCAATGTGTGCGACATCTATTATTTTTCACTTCACGCACACACATAAAAATGTGCCATACCAGGAAATTAGATTGATTTTGACAGCATTTGCTCCTGACGCGTTCGTGATAACTGCTCTTCATGCTCTTGTTATACTCCAGGTGCACACGAGTGCCTTGTTTAATGATTTGTTCCAGAACTTTTCTGGGAATTGAGAAGGACTTTAAATTATGATTAAAGAAAGCAAGTGACAAAAACATAAACAAGATTAATTTGATTGAGTTTTAAAAACTAATGAGTTAGGAAGAGGGTTGTTCATATAGGATTTTAGTAGGACAAAAAGGAGGCCAATCACACTGGTTTGAATATAGCAAATGAGTGAGGGTTCTTCCCCTTCTGAGGCAGGTGATCTGCATCCTTCCCTGACTGCTCATGGGACTTCAACCACTGGTTAAGGAGACTAAAGCCTTTTACAATATCAAGTGTGTAACCATGTATGTATTTGCAGAATTTCTCTACTTGAATTTTAGTCTAGACCCTTGGAAACAAACAAACAAAACAAATAAACAAATAAAAAAGCCCAGTCTCGTGACTCCTTCACCTTTCCACCCAAAACCTCAAAACCTGTTTTCATCTAGTTGAAGACAGTCTGTGGTTATCCACGGTAGTGTCAGCAGTATCTACAAGAGGGAGCATTATAATGAAGTGGTCACTGGAATAGAGTAACATCTCTGGTACATATTCCTGGGGAGGCAACATGGGTCTCCCACTATTACAGCCTGGTTCTTGAATCTGTCCCTCCAGTACTATCGTTTAAAAACCTCTGTCTTTTAGTGATGGATTCACCTGACTGAAGAAAACTCAGGTTTCTAAGGGCTAACTACTAGACTCCAGAAAGTTATAAGGAGGAAGGATGTTTTATCCCATATTGAGGAACTAATTTTCCAGTGGCTTAAATTACACTCAAGAGTACTAAATGTTCTTGGCCGCCCTCTAATGGGAGAAAGTAGTATTGCTCTCAGAGAGAGCAATTCCCTTTTTATCCACTGAAGGAGAGGTTACAGAAGTGTTTGTGATGGGCTTGTGAGTTGATGATACTTTGAAGCGAGCAGCCTCTGCCTTTTATTTATTTATTTTTATTTCAGTAACTACACAAAAACACTAAAAAGCGTTTGAATTTCTAAAGCAAACTACAGGAAGATCGCTTTTGAAATAGGGAAGCAAAGAATGAGGTTCAGATGAAACGATTTGTAAACCCTTGCAAAAAAGGGATCTTTTGCCCTGTCTTGCTATTGGGTTGGTGAACCTTGCTAGCTTATAGGGCTGCCAGACACTGCACGCAGTCCCTTCCAAGCACCTGGAAAAACTTATCTTCTCCGGCCCCGCAGCAAACCCTCTCTGGGACAGTCCTGCCTCCATGGCTGCTTCATAAAACTGCAGCAGGAGTGTGGTTTGGTTCATGGGGCCTCGTGATGAGGCGGCTCTGTGGGAACACACAGAGAAACTGTTGCTTTTGCTAATCCACATTTCAAACTGGGTCTGATGAGAGATAAGCAAGATGGATGGATGTATCCCGGGGCAGTGTAATCCCCCAAGTTTTTTGAAAAGAAAACTAAGCATTTGTATGTCCTCCCAGAGGGCCTGTGAGTCAGGAAGTTGTACTTAAGGGCACCTATAAAGAGTTGTTTAATTTTCCCAGGCTTCAGGGTGGAAATGTGAATCAATTTAAATGTTGGGATGGATTTTGTTTTACTGAGCATGGTTCTCCTTCCAGCTACCCAGCAGTTTAATGTACAGAATAGCTAAACTATTATGGACCATAAAGCCCACTCAGTGAAGCTGTACGAATGGCAGCCTTTTACAGGGAGGGCACTTCCAAGGGATGTTCTCTGCAATAAATTAATTTCTCACAACCTGCACATGAAAGGAATCAATTGAAATGACAAGTGGAGAGGAGTATTAATTCTCTCTACAAATGCATCCGCATGTGTCCTCTGTATGATAACCCCGTGAGATCCAGTTTTACACAAGATACGAATAGGGGTATTATCCTGTTGCTGAAATTATTGCGTGAAAGAAATGTATCTGAACGAGACCTGGGCTTGGTGGGTGGGTATGGTAGGTAGTACATTTTCTTAAGGTCTCACTCATAACTGATCATTGCTTTGGGTCATAAGCGGTCAGCAACTGATGAGGAAGTATGTGCTTCTGAGAAGTATACTTTTTTTCTTCTTCGAATAGGGGTATTATCCTGTTGCTGAAATTATTGCGTGAAAGAAATGTATCTGAACGAGACCTGGGCTTGGTGGGTGGGTATGGTAGGTAGTACATTTTCTTAAGGTCTCACTCATAACTGATCATTGCTTTGGGTCATAAGCGGTCAGCAACTGATGAGGAAGTATGTGCTTCTGAGAAGTATACTTTTTTTCTTCTTCAGATATACAAAAAAAAAAAAAAAAAAAAAAAAGAAATTCTCCTTAAATTTGGATTTGGGGGGAGGC